GGAGCACTAACCATTCAGACTATTTGCTGAATTTTTTGACGTGGGTGGGGTGTCAGCTTCACACAGCTAACAGAATCAACAGGGTTTCATTATAAGTTTCATTTTTGTTGTTAAAAACCTTTCTTTCTTGATGTTAAATTATTTCTTCTTTTTTTCCCCCCATATCCAATTTGCATAATGTACTTTAACTCATTGTGTAAATCGAACAAAATCACACTGACTAAAAATATTCAAGCATGGTCAGTGTCTCGGTGATGGATGTTTTCACCTCCAGCAGATTTGACCAACTGCCGGCTGAAAGCTGGGCAGTAAGATTTCTAACGCCATAAAACCTGTTTATCCTGCAAAGACGGCCTCACAGACAGCTGCAACAAAACCCGTGAATAAACAAAATGCACGGGCTCGCATGGAAAATGAGCCAAATAAAAACGGCACGGTACAGAGTGCGGCATCGCCCCGTAACACCTGTTCGCTCGGGTCTTTGCGTGCTGGGAGTTGGATGCGGAGAAAATTGTGGCCAGTAATTTTCAGGGCTAGCTCGGGCGCTTTTGTGTCCGTGGAAAACTCTCTAGATGTTTTGGATTAGTTACTAGCCGCTGGCTTGTACCGACGCGCGGCTAGGGTGTGTTGTTGGGTGTTGAATCCAAAGCAGCGGCGCCATGGATCCGACAGAAAGCGAGGTCCGTGCCAGGAAGTGTTGGTTGAACAGGTGCTGTGGCTGCAGGTGAAAAAAGCTGGCCCTGCTCTTCAGAGATCCCTCCAATGGGAAACCAGCTCAGTTATGAAGGAGGAATATGTTGCTGATATCAAACAGGCTTTGGCATGGCAATATAGTCATGCATGTTTTTGTTTGTTTTTTAATCTCAGAAGAGAAAGAAACACATTCAAAGACACACACACACACACACAGAGAGAACCCAGGACAAATTAAGCCAAAGTGAGTGTCTTCAAAAGCATTTCTGTGTGTTTCTGGAATCCCCTCCTGCTTGTCTCTCTTTCTGTCATTGTTTTATCCCTGGCAGCTCAAACTCTGCCAATGGCACAGCATGGATGGCTGCCACCGCTGTCATTGTCAACAGCGTGACAACACAGCACCTAATGCGGGGCAGGGCGAAATGAAAGAGGCGCAGCTGAGGACAGCCTAATTATTCAGACACACAGCTAAGAGCAGAAGGGGGACAGAACATGTCAACAGACTATTCGGGTGATTAACATTTTTTTGTCGTCTGAGCAGTCACCTGTGCGGCTGGCAGTTTATGGCCAAGATGATGAAGACTTCTGACTTTTATGCAAAGCGGCGCAGCCTCGGAGAGCGAAAAATATAATTAGACTTTCTGATCTGCTTTTATATTAACTGGGGGAGGACTGCAGGCCGATGTGGGCTGCAGTCAGCTGTGTGTTAAAACGCGTTCTGATAAGAGAGAAAGTTATAGCAGATTGGGAAATTGAGCAGATAAATATTCACTTTATTCTCCTAATTCATCAGTTTTTCTGCGGAAGGTGGGCTGAACCAATCATTCCCCTTGATTTCACATTAGGTTGATGCTGATGTTTCCCACCCCACACACACGCACACACAAATTCAAACATCTTGGCATCTTCTGCCTCTTGATGAAACTGAATAATTTATGTCTCACCCTTAGTTTATGTAGAATATAGTTTCTAGCAATATCCACTCCTGCTATAATCCAAAACGATCCAATCCCATTTTAATGTATAGTATCATACAGCTGCTGTCGGTGATTGGATGTAATGTTTCATGCTGACTTGAGGCCGCTCACTTATCGTTTTTCTCCAATATCACCAGTTCGTTTTTCTGTAATCACAAGTGGGAGGCCCTTGGGAAGCGGCTATTTTGTCAAATAGCTGTATGATTATGAGAAGAATGATGTGATGAAGGGCCTTCAACCGCTAAGAGCCTTGGAATTACCATCAGTCTCTTCAGCTAGCTTTAATATCATCAGATATCAACAACAGAGAAATGGAGCCAAAACAAAAGCAAACCCTGGAAATGTCATAAGATCAATTGTTGTCACAAATGGACCTGAAAGGCCAGTCAGGTGGAATCAGATATAAAGCAGTAAGACCAACTTTTTCACTGTGTGAATCAATAAAATATCTGCTACAAATACTTAAAAAAAAAAATAAATTAAAAATTGTAACAGATTAAAAGAGTTAAACATATGAGTTTGGTTACAGTTTTATCTTTACTTTCAAACAATAACCATGTTGTACAGAGACTGTTCTCTGTACAGCAAACACCTCTGATGTTAAAATGTTCATGGTAAAATGGCCAAAAAGATGTTTAGAGCAATGTACATTTGAGCTCTTCAAAAGAAATCGGCAATCATCATCATCAAAAAAAAAAAGAGTTGGCAAATTGGAAACATGCTAGAAAACTTTGATCGGTGTAAAGCTCATCCATAAATTTGTATTTTATGGAATTGGAAGATTTAAATTGATTTAAATTGATTTAAATCTCCTTGAGACTTGCATTTTCAAATTGACGCCTAATTCCAGAAAGCATTGTTGTTTTGTATTTTTTGCATTGACGATTGCATTGTTTATTATCACATTTGTGTTTTTAATTTGAGCCTGTACAGCACTTTGGTTGCCTCAGGTTTTTAAAGCACTTTATATAAATGAATGAATGTATTAAAAGATTTTTTTTTAAATCCTGGTGTTATCTACAGGTGGCACAAATTGCTCCCTTTCAGTGCTAATGATTTGTAATGTATACTTTATCCCGCCAGGCCAGAAAAAAAAAAACAATCATTTACAATTACTACAAACTGACTAAATGGATAATTTCATTACAGTAAAGCTGCTAATCAGCTTACAATCATCACTTGAATTAAACATTACACTGATGTCAACTTTCTGCGTGACTGAAATCATTTCAGTCAAACTAAAGGATTTTATTGGACTGGATTTTCCTTATATCAAGGACAGCGTAATAAACAAAGTGCCAGGATGGAGCAGTACTACGTGTGCTCGTGTTGTTGTACAAGGCAATTTCTTTTTTAGACTCGTGTTGAATTTCTTGTAAGGAATAAGCAAAAAATATTACATTCACCTTGATGCAGCAAAATCCATATCTGTGAGGCAACGTACAAAACAGCAGAGGAGTCTTGATAGGTCAAACCTCTCTGCTGTCCTCAATTCAACTATGACTCAGTGATTTCATGCTCCCAGCAGATGTTACACACAAGAAAGAAGATGGTTGGTAGAAACGCTAAGAATTACTTCACGCAGATTATTTTGCAACACGCTGCTTTTACATTACTAGGTGCCGAGCTACGACAGGATACTGACTACAATTACTTTTTCATTTCGTCTGCAATTGTACTCAGAAAAAAGAAGAAAGAAAAAGAAAACAGAGAGAAAAAAGGTTAAGGTCAAAAGTAGCGATAAATGCACTGGGCCAATGTGAAGAATTATGTCTCCACTGACCCTCACAAAGCTACATTTTCCAGGACTAAGAAAACATAAATCACGGACCTCGATCTGCAGGTTTAGCTTTTATTATTCTGTGTGCGTTTGCAGCGAGCTTAAAAAAAAAAAAAAAAAGTCAAAACTATACGTGTCTAATTGACCTAATACGTATGACCTGTTCTTGTTGGGTTCCGGAGCCATCGAGAAGGATTAGAAGAAGGTAGGGAGGGAGGAATGACGAGAATGGCTGCAATAGTTCCCCCGGTGCCTGTCAAGGTCGCAGTGGAGACGACAACTTCTAAAATCAGCTGTTCGCGTTGGCAAAGAGGGCAGCCTGATGGAGCGCTTCGCCCGCAGTCGGTACTTTCAGAGTCAGGTGAGGGTGCACAAGCCATCCATTCATTGGGAAGTTTAAGTGGGGACCTTTTAGTCAGCATTAAAAAGAAAAAAAAAATAGAAAAGCAGGGTGTACGATGTCCCTTACAGTCTGTATATGTGTGTGTATTGAAAGCTTTTAGAAAGGAGAAATCGAGAGAAGAGGAAGCAGCGAGAGACAGACGAAATGAAAAGAGAGACAGTGAGAGGGGCTTATCTCTTGGCCTGCAGACAACAGTTCTTTTTCAGAGCTGGAGCCGTGTAAACAGGGCTGGGGGCTAAGTGTGTTCATCCTCAGGGTGCATGAGCCAGAGGGGCAGCAGCTCATCCACTAACGCAATGGCTGCAGGTCAAACAGACTCAGAAAATATAAAAAAATAAATATACCCTATCTATTAAACACCTGTCATACCAATGTCTGTACCGGAACCGTTTGTCTAAACATATTTCGGTAGTTCAGACGTGAACATAAAAGATTTCTCTGTCCTTTCTTGGTTGCCTTCTGTTTTTAACTTTTTATTTTTTTTATCTCAGACTTCACAGATTTGAGTCCTCTGCCCTGCAGAAGCATCAGATCCATCTGTCTTGCGTCACCATCGCTTCGCAGAGTCATTTGTAACAACCAAAAATAGCTTTGGTCTACATTTAGGCAATGACATCTGCTGCGACCTAAATGAAGGCAAAATATATATATATATATATTAAATGGGCTGCCAGCAGAGAGGGACACAATTTGTAGAGAGGGACACAATCTTTAAAGAACTAAGTAGAAGAAAATTTTTTATATTTATATGGTCACATCCAATGCTCATGTGTCATGTTGAGCCATTATTCTAAAGTTCTTGATGGTTCTGGGTTTCCTTTCTCTGCACTTTCTATAGATTTGTCTAAAGCAGTCCTCAAACTGTGGTCCCCAGACCACTGGTGGTCCGCGGGCGCCCCCTAGTGGTCCGCGAGGTACTGCATATAAACAACCGTTTATTTGCCGTGACGTGAGTGCGACGCTACAGCTAGCTTACCAAAGGACTGTTAAGAAATAATGATTGATAAATGGCTTAAAACGGGGCCACTAAAAAGAAAAACTGAAGATACAGGTGGAAAGTTTCTCACGGTGAGTTGCAGAACTTTAGTTTTTGAATATTATTAGGATACAAAGCATGGCGCAGGGATGCAGATCTCAGTCTGCGGCTGTGCTGAGTGCAATGAACTCAATATGACTGTGGCAAGGTGGTGAACAGCGCTGTGCCCCACACTGACTAACTGCATTTTAACACCTAAAATAAAATTATTTATGTCGGACTATCTACTGGCTTCTAAGTTACAAATAACCCTGAAATGTCATCAATAAAGTAATTTCCATATGTTTTCTATCATTGGAAAGCTTCAAATCCATACTTTCAGAATCTGTAAATAAATCAAAATGCCCCAAGTAGACGTGTTCATGGTTTTATTGTGGCCAATCACATTTGCAAAACAGAGCCACCTTCACATTAGGCAGAACAAACGCAATGACTTAAGAAACTAATGTTTTACTATCAGGCTGTATATATCAAGTTCAAGATAGGTGGTCTGTGACTGTTTGTTAAATGGGGTAAGTGGCCCTCGGCTTGAAAAAGTTTGGGAAACACTGGTTTAAAACATACAGACAATTGAGGTGATTAACTGGACCAGTCTGGTACATTTAGTAACACCAACAAACAGTTTTTTGTCTAGATTTTTGTCTTGATAAGAAATGTCCCAGTACATTTATCCATTAATCCTCCCTTCAGTTACATGAATCCGTTAGTACAGCTTGCTGTAGAGCAGCCCACTTTTGGCAAGGTGGTTTTAGAGTGGTTTATGGTGTCCTTAACTCCAAACATGGTGTGTTCAAAGATGTTCAAAGAGTTCAGCTTGAACCTCATCTGACCTCAAGATATTCCTTCTGTACTTCATTGTCTCGTCAAAAATCTGCTGCAAACAACCTTTAACGCACTTTTTCTTCAGCTGCAATGTCCTGTGCAGTGACTGATAGCAAAAGGCCCCTTGGATCTTTAATAACTCTTTGATTTGGCATTTTAACTTCTGTGTCAGAAACATAGGAGGGCCATGGCTTTATGACGGTGTAATGTGTTTGCACTTTCAGCTATTATTAAACCACCTGATATTAATTTGCACATAGCCGCAGGGACACTCTCTGAAAACTCAAATATTTCAGCTGGATTTTTGGATTTCTATGCCTTTTTAAACACTCTTTTCTTCATGTGTAAAATACCTTTTCTTTCGCTGTTTCCTCAGGAAGAATAGACATTGTGGATAATCTATTGTAGAATGAATAAATTAAGGTAATTCAATTCCAATCAACTCAACTCAGTTCCATTCAAGTGCAAGTAAGCTAGTTTATTTTTCAGAGAAAAGAAACAATAAGATATGTGTGAAGATTTCTTCACAAAGAACTTTATTTTTCACTCGACTGTAATTTAATTAAAGAACATTAAATCAGGAAAGAAACCGTAGAGCCTTAATATAATATAATAATTAAGTATAATAGTATAATAAACCAAAGGAGTAACCACAATAGCAATTTTACTAAGGTTTTGTAAAATTGCAACGGCAAAAATAGTTCTAGTTTGTTGCGACTTTAAATACTAGCAATCTTGCAAATTAACAATTTTTTTTATAAAGCATTTTGAAGAGAAGCAAACTGATAGAAAACAACATTCAGCATGACAATATACTAATAAGACAATAAAAAGAACTGAATGGTTAAATGATCAAACACCTTTTAAGGACCTTAAAAATATACAAACCCCTCAACTTATTTCTGCTTGGGATCAAATGTCTCAATGCTTGGTAACAAGAACCAATTTTCAATAATAATTAGGTTAAAAGCAAAACACTCTGTTTAATTGTGGATTTTTTTAAAACCTTATTGTTAACAATTGATTTTATAACATAGTATTTTAACGTTTTGTCCTTTTTTGTCATTTAAATTTTCCATCAAAGAGGAAAAGAAAAAAACAATGTTGAATTATATAACTGTCCAAAAAAAAAATGTTGTTACTCTGCTTTGATGTAAGGCTGTGAATGTAAATGTCTCACAAAGCTTAATATCTTCACACAAAAATACTCCTTAGTTAAATCCAAGAGAAAATTTAGAGCCCCTCAGAAATGTTCACCCCATCTAAAGCCTTCTCCTCTTCTTGACCAAATGCGTCCCATTCAATTCAGACACCTGGAGGAGGGCGACGCCATCACCTCCCCGTCAGCGTAATCGCACGGACGTAACATTGGCAGTAGGGAAATGGATCCGGAGCCAAATTCTGCAGGAGAGGTAGAAGGGATTTAAAGCTCTCAAATTCTGTCTGACGGTTCCAGCTTGATTTCCAGATTTGGAAATGTCTGCGCTTACCGCGGATAGACGGGCAGTTAGCCCCTCGTCCGCCGGGCTCCGGGGAAAATGGCATCAGGACGGGGAAACACTAAACAATTCAGGAAAAATACTTAGTTTTGGATCTGAAATTGACTGTAGCTGTTGGTGGTCAGGCAATTAGATATACACAGTGCACAACATTGCCTCATGCTGTTCCCAACCCACTCTTGTCCGCCTGCATCAGCACTATACATATGTATGAGTGCAGACTTTGGAAAAGAACATAAAAAAGTAGAAAAGTAATCATCAAACTGCAGATGTTTTTTTTTTTTGTTTTTTTTTTTGAATAGCCCAGTTCATGTAGAGGAGTTGTCATAATGAAGGTTTTTGCTGTTAGTCAATATATTGTGTAAGGAAAGTATTTGAGTTTCAGTCGTAAACTTCCAGTTGTGATTAGAGCGATTGATGGTTCTATGAAGTATTGAGTCACAGGCGAAGAATACAAATGCACATCACACCTTTATTATGGTTTCATTTTTTTATCTAATAAAAAGTTTGAAAACTTTTTTACTTTCAAGTTAGAAGTTTATGCTATTTGTAGACATCTATCACTTTAAATACCTCAAATACTGCATGGGTTGGGACATGTGCTTTCATTCATAACATATTAGTTTTTTGATTCAACTGGACATCTTTTATCAAAGAATTTCCACAACTTTCTTATATTTTCCATTAAAATATAAGAATTCTGAGAACATTAAACAATGATGGTGTCAAAAGGAAAATTGTAAATTCAAACAGAAACTGGTATTGGTCAGAAAATGTCCGATTAGTAGATCTCAAGTCACATTTGTTGCTACATTCAAAGATAAATTTTCTTTGTTTTACTTTTTTTACATATGATTCCACAATCTTGACAACAAACCAGCTAGCTTACACAACAAAGCTAGCTTTGTGGAAACACCAAGGGGCAGCAGGAGCGTTGGTTATAATGGTGCGTTTTGGATCGAAATCCGCTTCACACCAACTCACTAACTTGGCTTAGTTGCTACGTCCTTCAGTGGCTCACAGGCGTAAGAGCATCCATATTCAACCAGCTTGAACGTGCGTAGAAACAGGAGCCCTTTTTTACAGCAATGTTTGCAATTAGAACCAGTTTTCCTCGACTTGAACACAGAGAAGGGGATAACAAAGATCAATAAATGCTACTTTCACCTCACAAATATACTGTTTATTTTTTATCAGTGGGCTCGGTAGAGGCACAGGATGCATTATTGATCTTTTACTCTTGAACACAAGTGGATATCCTTGAGGGAAAGCATTCTTTGTTGCAAAGCCGAGCTTGGATCTTGTGAAAACTGCATCCACGGCTTTGTGAACACAGCAAATTGTTGCAAATCAGGATCTTATGCGGCGTCCTTCAGCAAACTGATAAATAGATAATATCCTGCCGCTGCAAGGTCATCGGAATAATATCTTAAAAATGAATGTCTTCCAGTGCTATGAAAACTAAACGTTCGGATCCACGAAGATGTGTGAATTGGCTTCTGTTTCGCCCTTCTCTTTCAGTTTGTGCATCAGCTTATCATTTATCAGATAAAACAGTAAAACAGCAGCAGATGTTGCAGGTAGACTTCTTATGTTTGCTTAAAAAATAAAAAGAAAAGGAAAGAATGCGAAAAAGAATTGGAGACTTCTACTGCCATTATCTTTTTGAGGGGCATTGAGCTATTAAAGGGGGGAGAAGAAAAAAAAACAAGCTTCAAGGAACGGTGTAAAAAGGGAGCGCTGGCAGAGCTAACAGAATCGTCACTCATCCCACCCACTTCTAACCCTCCTTTTCACGCCACATTGTCAAAATAACTGACAGACGTGCTTCACGCTTCTGAACCGTAGGCAGAAATGACGGCCTTTGAGGGAGGTGCTGCTTACGCTTAGAATATCACAATAAACCAATCCAGCACAGCAGCAGTTCAACTTAGAAGTATTTATTTATTTTTTGTTCCTACCAACAAAAGACCCTCCACTGCAAATAGTCAACCCCACCCATCGAGACTCCAAATTAAGGTGGCGAGGGGCGAGAGCTGTTGTAAACTTTTGCGAGCGCCATCTTTTCTTTTTCCTCCATTATATACTTTATCGGTTTTCCTCTCTTTATCCATTATTGCTGTCTTTAGTGTTGACGATTTCCATTGAGAGGAAAAAAATAGGCCATTGGATTCTCCTAATTCCCTGCACACACACTGGGCCCTGTCATTTAATTGATAGATGGACACTTTTTTCTCTCTCTCTCTCTCTCTCTCTCTCTCTCTCTCACCGGTTCCTCACAAAGCTATCTATTTACTGCCACTTTCACTACTTGAAGCAGAATGGGGAGCGTTTGCAGATCATCGTTAGACATCTGGTGGCTAAAGCATTAGAGGGGGGGGACCTGCTTTACTTTAAGATACTAGGTGAAGTAGTTGAACTGAAAATAAAGGAGAAAAAGAAGAGGCTAAAACTTTATATTCATTCATGTATTGCATGTAAACATTTTTCTGCCAGTGGCTAACAGTCTGCTGTGAGATTAAAGGCGCTGTAGCTCATCCACCTTGAATTACTTCAACATTTCATCACATTACAAGCAAAATTGTTGCTCAGTTTCAGTCAGATTGGATGGAGAGCATCTTTGAACATTAATTTTCAAAGCGTGTCACAGACTGTCAGTTGATTTTTGCTGTGAAGTTTGACGTTCTCAAAACGTATGATGTAAACAGATATATTATTTAGCTTAAACAATCCAGGCTCAAACAGGTTGTAGGACTTCCCTGTATTTAGCACAATCTGCCTTTTTCTCCACGTTTCACTGTGCTGCTGGTCTGTTAAGGAAGGGGATCTACAGTGTTAGTGAGCCATCAATCGTGGCGTTTGGTACGTATGTGATAAAGTTCAGTTTAGGTCTCATCTAACCAGAACAATTCAGTTTTTCTGAGACCTGAACATTGTTTTTTCTTTTTGTTTCTTTCTTTTTTCTTTTTTTTTTAGCAAATTAAACTTCTTGTTGTTTTCCTTTATTCTGTGAGCTAGACTGGAAAATTGAGAGATTACAGTGCAAAGAGCGATTCTTCATAATATCAAGGATATTATGTTCAGCCCTCTCCATGAGACTATTATACAGAAAAAAATCATCATTAATAGCTAGAAAGATCAGCATGTTGACATGCTTTGCTAACTCTGATTAGTTACTTATTTGTTGCACTTACGTGAGAAGCTGCCCTATAATATTCAGACGCGACTGCTTGAAAACAAAATTGTTTTGTTTTTCTTTGTTTTAATTGGATTTTCTTCAGTCAGAAGCTCTTTCAGATATGCTGTATAACAGACTACTAGAGGAGGTCCTTCCTGCCTGCAGTCATCAGCTTCTACAGCAACTCTTTAAAGGAAAATGTACATAACAAAATTTTATTTTTCTTTTGTATTATGAAAGTATTATAGAACTGAACTGAATGGCTTTCTACTTGCAACTCCTTCATGAAAGCCACATTTTGTACAGTGTAAAACTAATAGCCAGCCAAGTAGTTGACTGCGCTGGATTTTATTGAAGAGCATCAAAGCAAAAGGGTTTACATACATTTTAATTGTATTTTTTCTGTTCAAAACTTCATATACAATATGAAGTTTGGAAAATTCATATTAAACTCTTCATCCGTAAGCTTGACTTAAAATCTTTCCGGTTTTTTCTTCAAAGGGCTGATTTAAGTGTCTCACGAACGCCACGCGTCTTCACGGAGCGGGTATTTATTAATGTGCCATCTCTGCAGCTGCATCTCAGCAAAAGCAGCAGCAAGACTGGAGCCTGAAGCGTCACGCCAACAGCACCGAGACACGTCACGGAAAACCCGGCCAATCTACTCCACGTAGAAAACTGTTGCTGCTCCAAAGCCAGAACCGTGGCCACGGGCGAGAAACGCACAAACACCAGCAGGTGTAGGAGCGGCTCGGGTCGGCTCTCATCTGTTCTGTCAGCGATGGCGAGGCCACCTTCATATTTGCTACTGGTTAAATTTAGAGCGGCGTCCTGTGCTGCATGCAGAATACTAATCAGGTCAGCGAAAAGCCGACACAGCGCTGCAAGAGTCCACTCATATATTCCTCCTCCTTTTCTGCTGCATTAATGCTTTGAGGCCTGGCAGGACACTGTGCCACTGAAGTAACCTCAAGCATAAGTTTGACTGCGTCCCGGAGATATATCGACTACGTTTTGTGCAATTATGAGCAGCTTTTCAGACACCCAAGGCGAAGTTCGAGTGACGCACCAGTCACCGGCGAACAATCCAAATAAAGTGTGACCCATTAAATGAATATCCCACTTGCATGCTTATGGGATCTTTTAGAGACTCTTCAAACATTTTATGTTATTTATCGCCCTGCTTACATACTATGACCACTTCACTTTTTGCTTTAGGGAGAATGAGGCCTGATCAGTAATTTGTTGGGACATGTTGATCATCAGAACAAATGTAATGTTTAAAATATTCACTCACAGGTGGACAATTTGCATGTTTTACTTCTCAATCTATGATATTTCAGGGTGTGTTTTTTGGTACAGCAATTAAGACTGATTTTATCCTGAATAATTATAATTAATGAGGAATTTTTAAAAAATATTACGCTCTAATAATTTATCTTTCATCACAATGCATAAGAAACATGGACGTGTTTCTATGGAAACCATCCATTGCTACTTCGTAGCAGCCAAGTGTAAGTGTGACTTCTAAGGTCTTATTTATTTTTTTGCCTAACATTTCCATTTGAAAGGTAAATTCCAGATTTTTGAAGTGAGGTTCTTATGTGAAGCAATTAAAATCTTCCCTGTCTGCAGCAACCGTTTATTATCTAAGCGATGCTGAAACTGTCTCAGGACTATTAGGCTAAAATTGGGATATTGTTGACCTTGAAGTCAAAATGAAAGACAGGTGGAAAAAACATGCAATTTTGACTTTTACATGTAAATAAAAGCACTCAGAAGGATCATCAGAGAACAACGATGCCATAGTCAAGCCTCAATCTGAGCACCTTCCAATTAAAGCCTTGCTGACTTTACCAGCTGAGCCACACGACGGCATCATCTATAATTATAATGCATTATAAGCAAATGGATCATTCGAGGACTTTTCATGTGCTACTATCACAGCTTCAGCTACCGAGTTAGCTTACTTTATTAGGAGCATATGCAGAAAAATGAAAGAAAAAAAAAAGATAATTAAAAAAAGTAACATTCACAATGTCACAAATTTACATAAAGGCTAAAATGCTAATGATGCCACAGGTGAATGTAGGATTTACCACAAATAAAACAATTTAATTCTATCAGCATCCATTAACCTGCAGCTGTAGATGAGGTTCTGTAATATTGCATGACAAGCAGGTACACCAACCCTAACAAATATTTGGCTTGCATTGCTCAGCCTGGTATCTTGGGCGGTATCCTAAGTTCCTAAGTTCAACTCTGTATGCTAAAGTGAGTTTTTGCGTGTTGCTTTGCTAGCACTCCTGTGAAGTTGTCTGGATATTTTTAAATCATCGTTGTTATTTTCACAAGTAAAAATTTGACTCGGTTCATCTTCTTCCAGCCAGCGTTGAATCACGGCTGTTTTACAAGGCCGGCAACATGCGCAACAATGTAGCATCCAATTAGCCCGAACATATAGCCTTCGAGTGAATCAACGTTGATGATACCACTATGTATTTCAAACAGTTATTCTCACCAGAATGTTTTGATATGTTTCCTTCTCTAATTCTCTCAGAAAGGTCACAAGGCGAGCACCGCCTCCTATAAATCCCAAGTTAATACATAAATGCAAAACATAATTGTTGGCATGTTATTAACACAACTTTCTTGTCACATTTTCACCATTTTTTTTTTTTTTTATTGGAGTTTTACTGCCAAGATCACTTTGGCCTCGGTGCCTCTTGAACTGCTCGATACCTTTGACCTCTGGAACCAGAAAAGTTACTAAATAAAGAAAACCAAGAAAGTTAACTAAGTGCCTGCAACCTTTTAACAGAACCGTATTTTGAAAAAGCTCAAACCGTCTCTTTAACAATTTCATCACTCTACTCAAGAGACTACAAGAAAAATGAGTTCACAACAACATCCCCCGCCCCCCACTTCTCCCTCTTTTTCTCTCTCGTTTTCTTTTTTTTTTTTTTTGTTTGCACTGGAAATGAGAGCAGAAGCCAAATTAAACCGCGAAGCAGAGCAGTGCTGAAATAAGAAGTAGCTGGAACCAGGACACACAGAGTGAATATTTAGAGCAATATACATATTTTAGCATACAATTTTATGTAATTCCAGGTCAAAGTGGAATGTGGCTGCATCTGCATCGGGGTCATTAATAACTACAGTAGGATAGTGCCAAAGTTTGCACTTTTGATAATGTGGCACATTTTTCTGTAAGACAGATGGGTAATTTCAGGACAGATTCTCTGTTTGTTGCCTCTATTCCTCCACATCCTTTCCCCCGGCGCCCACCATGCAGTTTTGACATCGAACTCGCCTGACTAATTAACGACGACCCTCCTTTGGATCTGGGATCTAATGTCAGAGGCAATAGCACCTTCGCTATGGCGCCTCGCAAGACATTGGCAGAGGGGGGAAAAAAAAGAGGACTGGAGAGGCTGGAACTGCAGATGGAGAAAAAGTGAGTTTCAGAGTGCTTCATAATACAGTGACAACTGCACAGTGAGAGAAGCAGAGTACATGTCCACTTACAATCTGCAACCATATCCAGCAGTCTGCCAGCTAGCGGTCACCTCGCAGACGTCTGGCCAAACCCATCTATTAACCCAACGACTGGCCACTTTCCAGATCGAACAGCTACTCCTACGTTGTGTTTGTGATGGAGGACAGGGAAGCCAGTAAGTGGAATAAAGTCTTATTCCTCTTACGTACGGCTCAATGGACCCAGTCTGACAATAATCCATAAACGGCCACACCTGCTGTTGTTAAAACACGCTAGGTTTTCTGAAGAGAAACGAAAACATGGAGCCTTTTCTCTTTTTTTTTTTTATGTAAATGCACAAACACGGAGAGCGTGTTTAATTTTAATAAGCTTATCCCGTTCACCTCTCATCCAATCGCAAGCTCTCGCACGCAAACACACCTCAGCCGCCGAATCCTGCCGATGCTGCAGAATGAGGCGGCATCTACATAATACACAGAAACTAATTTCCTTGTCTCCTTCTGTTCTTCAGTTCTGAGAAGATGGAAATGTTCGTCGCTGTTGTCCTGAACGCAGCATAATCATCTTGGATTTATGCTTGTAGCGTGTATCAAATTAATTGTGCATGGAGTGAGTAGGGGCGAGAGAATATCTCACAGAAATGGATTTCCCCGTGTCATCAAACAATAGCAAGTAAAACTGAATTCCTTGTTTTCTTCTCCCTCATTCGAGCAAATTACACACAGCTGCATCCTCTTCTAGAGCACCGACTCGGGTGCAAAATGGGCCACGGCGTTTCATAATAGCTGGCTTCTGGTGTCGGTGCGATGGAATGAAGACGGGTAGTATGCAGAGTTTACTTAGAGCTGGCTTTAAAGAGTTTACATGAATTAAGACTGATGGTTTGTTGATTCTGTTACTTCTAGAGATTCAAGGAAGTTAAACGTTTTAGTGATCATTGAAATGGATTATGTTTTCTACAGTGGTTGACAAAAGTCAGAAGACCAATATACAAAAAAATCAGAAACAAATGCAGAAACTATTTGTAATTTGTGTAGAGACTCACCTTAATAACTACTGAGAAGTAATTAAATCCAATTTTAAAGATAAAGCACAATTTTTACGCTAACTTATGAATGACTTGTTCATTTCACTACAAAAAATTGTGAAAGTATTTCTTTAGAAATGAACAAAAACAGCATGGCCAGGTATGAAATTATTTAATTCTACCTCCCATTGTAACACATTCAAAGCATATTTCACACTATTTTTCTCTAAACAAAAATAAGCATGTATTTGAAAACAGATTGGTTCTGTCCTTGTAAAAAGAAGTAGTATATGAAGAAGCCTTTTTTTTTCTTTGTGTCTTTCATATCACTGCAGAGGCAGTTTGGTTGGCTGTTATTTCCAAATCTTCTCCAGCTCAGTGAGGTTTGTGCACATTGTTTAGGCATGTCTCTCTACGGTCTCAACACAGCGTTTTCAGCTGGGATCGCTGCTGCGTCTCGATTCTTTTCTCTTTTTCATGTAATTTAGCTGCTGTGTATGGGATTGCTGTCATGTTGATGATCCTGTTTGGGATGAGCCGATATTCAAATGACCTCACACTGAACTCTGAAACAGACTAAATGACTAAATGCAAAGAAGCCTTGCATTGTAGGGAGGCTTTTACTTAACTATTAAAAATAGCCCTGACTTCTGGGGTTTTTATTCCAAGTTTCTCCATGTTTTCTCTGCCTGCTTCATGCCAATGACTTGACTCTTTTTATTTTTTATTTATTTTTATTTCCTTTATTTAACCAATGAGATCCAGATCTAATTTTCAAGAGAAATCTGCAACACACAACTTTTTTGAATAAACTAACTTATTTTTCAAACACGGGATGTTTGTCCTCATGTTTTTTTTTGTGTTTTTTTTTTAAGAAATGAGAAACTAATCTTTGTAGCAGTTAATAACGACAACTGCTACAATGGTTAACTAAGTACAGTGGAGTTCATGGTCAACTCAACAAGTGAAAGGTGTTCATGTAACAGTAATACAAATATATGAGGTACCTCCTCTGACTTGCTGCGTCTGACATGACAGGAGGATGAATGCTGTTCTGCATGTTTTGTGATTTAATCAAGTAAGTCTTTGCAGACTTCAGTCACGCATCTATATGTTTAAGAGGGAATTTTTTTGGCAACCATTCCCAGCATGCTAAAGTTGTTGGCTTTTTTTGTTGGGGTTTATTTAATTGCACTGTTACAAATTTGGACATTTAACATGATAAATGATGTTTGCAGAGTTCAAGGTGAAATTCTTGGGTTGCTTTTGAAATTGGGTTAAAACCTTTCAGAGGAATTGCTTCTCTATGGGCATGTAAAGAAGTGAAAGCATCACTGATGCCTTTCCTTCTCAGAACTGCTTTCAGAAAACTCTGAAAACTATGCTGGTTTGGACCATTTGCTTGTCCAAACTAGCAAACGTTCAAAAGTGTGACTTTTAATAGAGGTGGCCACACTTGCTAATGATGAGTTACACAAGTGTTTTTAATTAGCACCAACTGGTTACTACCTTCCTTGTGAAATGCTATTAAAGAAAACAGGCTGTTTTAAGCTTCTCCACATGCATCTTGTGACGGTTACACATGGATGATTTGTTGTAGTTCAATTTTTATTAATTATTTCTTTCAGATTGTCTTATTGATAATTACATATACATTTTCTTTCCTTTAACTGACTGGTCAAAGCAAAAAATAAAAAATAAAATAAAAATTGCAGCTTCACAGGAAGTGACCATTTATTCCAGTTTTGATGTGCTAAAAACAGGGAGATAGATTTGATCTACTGTGATCGTTTTATGACAAGGACATTCCAGCTCTTGTGGAGTATGTGGAATATGCACAGTTGTCAGTATTTGTCAAAAGTGATTCAGTGAATGAACAGAGCTGAACCTGTGACATTGTGACAAAGGGGAACATGTGACCAACGTTTGGCGCATTTGATTCAATTGGAGCTTGAACTGCAGAAGACATTTCTACTGATTTTGATTAAAAATTGTCCAGTTTGTTTTTTATGAAGACAACTATGGACACCCATGCAGACTTCTTTCCACTGTTGAAAGTGCCAACATTGTGCATGTCGGCATCAGAATTGGATCACAGAGAAACACTGACAGAGTTAGGATGATGCTTGACCTGCTGGGCAAACCTTAAGTCCTTCAAAAATGTTTTTCAAGATAAACATTTATTAGACGGTGTCTTTTCCCTGACACTGGTTTGCCATGAGCCTCAAATATTTTGAAATAAGAGACACATAGCAATAGTTGTGCGCAAAGTGAACTGACTGTTTTCTGACGCGATCACAATATTCCATAACAACAATTGTAAAATCATTTATTTAAACGTTGAGTGGAGCAATATCGATTAAAAAAAATGAATAAAAACACGTTTAGAAAAACTATTTTGTTCCTTTTTATGTACAGTCATTTGGGTTAAACCAGTATTGGTCAGGTCTAGTGACCTCATTTCCCCGTTCCTAGGAACAGGGCGGCGAGATGAAATAAAGTCCAACCTGACTGGCCTTAAAAATGGGAATCAAACAACACTCTTGTGTGTTTAGGATCTAAAGAGCCAGGACTGCCTGAAAGCCTCATGAAGTTTATATACCGAGCTTTGACTGTACTATATTGTGCTTAGGTCAAGACATATTATAAGGTCACCTGTGAAGGATATGCTTAATAAAAAGCCAATGCCACAACAGCACTCCTCCAACAAGAAGGACGACCAAGTCATCACGAAGAGTCAGTGTGGAAATAAAAAGGGAGGAGACGGAAGAGAGTCCCACATTCATAAGCCCAGAAAAAGGGAGAGGTTGACAGTAAACCCTGTAAATCCATTTGGTTTTTCAGACATGGATGGAGAACAGAACTGACAATAGCTTGAGGGGCTAGTGCTCCATGGAGTGAATACCAGAGCGGAGGAGAGGAAAAATAAGAATGTGTCACCTAGTGGGAGGAGGCACCAAGGCAGGATCTGTCAGAACTCTGTTGCTGTCTGCAGATTAGATCTGCGGCTATTTAAAGAGGGCGAGCGCGACAAACCCCTCGGCCACCACTCTGGCATTATTGGCAGCCATCACCTTGCGACAAGAAAGAAAAATATGATGCATAAATTACGGCTACAAAGGAGGCGCAGAAGACGGCATTTTTCTTCTGCGGTGACTGACCTCCCCAAGCGCACTCTATGCAGCCGCGGAAATTTATCACGTACAATTCAAGGTCACACTCCAGGGAATTTGTGCAATGATGTCAGAGATCTAGTCAAAGCTGCCACACGTATTGTAAGGGGCTACTGCTGGCCCTCTAAATAAAACTATATAGCCTCGAGATTAGATGTACAAACTTCCTTTCCAATAATCATCGCTTGACATCAGGGTGGAAGCAACACGGGGCGGCCTGGCGGTCCATACGACTCAATGTGTTGTATACAGGAAATGTATCTGTTGTGTCTGTATGGCAACTTGTTTTTATTTGAAAAACTGGTGATTGATGCTGTTGTTCTATGGGTGAAGGCGTATCTGCCAGAAAGCATGAGTGTGGCAGTACGTTCAAGAGGGTATGTGCTTATATACGTAGTGCTGCAGTTGCGTGTTGTGCTGCAGTTGCGTGTTGTGCTGTGAGTTTCTGTTTTCTGTCCTCCCAGACTTGATTGATTGGACAGGAAGCTGCTGGTGATGCCGTACTCTTGCTCTTTGTTTACATCACGTCGACTCTGTGATGTTTCTTTTCTCAAACGAAGCAGCATTAGCATTAGTCACGTTGGCCTCCGAACATGAGCCACGGATGATGAAGTTCTGTGTGCTAACCAAGCCGCGAGGCCTCATTTAGCCCATGATACCTTCTCTGGTCTCGTCCCTCTTGCTTTCTTCCTCTAGGCTGCAGAAGACTGACTCTCCACTACAGACTGAGTCATTCTCAGCAGTCAGTTATCTCTACATTCAGCCCCCACATTTCACCACTCCCTTTGATGTCATCAATCAAAGTTCAGCTACCCAAGTGAGGGGGCTAGAGAGACAGAGAGAGAGGGGGAGAAACTCTGAAAGGTGTCAAACGAATGGCCATCTAAGGACATGCACTCACTGGTTGGCACTGCACTTACGCACAGATTCAGAATCCATGGATTATTAATGTAGCCCCCTTTTAAACGTGCCTGGGAACCTTGTAGAGCAGCGTGTGAACAGAAGTGTAGACCTTGCATGGGCGGGTGCTCTGTTTCAGATGCTGATCTCGACATCATCACACCTGCAAACAGGCACTGCATTAGGTCTTACGGATTTACCAGCAGACTGAGCAGATAGAGGAGGGCGTCAGGCAGAAATACGGCTGAGAAGAATGACAGTTCAGTCAGAGATACTCACAAAAGGTTCTCAGGGATACGGGTTAGCCAGCACACCCCTACCTCACAAAGCCATTTGCATGGCGTTTCTTCATCACATCCTTTGTCTTCCCTGCCAAAGTCAGCTAAACTTAACTGATGAATGCGCTTTACATGAAACAATACATCGCTTTTCAAACCGCGTTTCCGACTCGTGTCAGCAGCTCAGCACAATGGGACAGCTAATTTAAAGCCCAAAGCCAAACATGATGAGAGGGAGAGGAAAGGATAGAAAACTGCCTCCCTATTCCTTTACCTTCACTATGCATTGCTTATTTGTCTGTAGTAGTTGGCCTTTTTAATATTGCTTGAAGGCCGGTAAGCAACGCAGGTTGAGCTTCTTTTTTTTTTTTTTTTTTTTTTTTAAACAAGACAACAAAGCAGAATGCAGCAGACAGGAACATATCTGATGGATGAGTGATGACTGTTACAATGCAGCAACATTTCTGGTTCGCTACCCTTTTATTTCCTCTAAACTGTGTGAGCTTGACAGACCAGACTGATCCATTCTGAAATTGCACTTACTTCTCTGTCACTGGGCAAACATTGGTTTTGGTCAAACACAAATGAGCTAAAGTGAACAAGTTACATAGCATCTTGCAAATGCATCTTGATATTTTCACACTGTGTCATGTTACAACCACAAACTTCCATACGATTCATTAGTATTTTAAGTGTTAGGCTAAAAGGATGCTGAGAGGAACATAGAGGATATGTAGTTTTCTGAATTTTTACTCTACCAACTAAAAACTGATCTGCAAAACAATTAAGCCCAAAATAATCTGACCTCTGTCTGATTGAGATGTACAAATATTTTTAATGATTCAAGAGTTTGTTTCTGGTTTAAAATGAGACGGGCATCCTACACACACACACACAAATTTGTAGTTTTCTTTAAGAATTTCAGGTCTTTGAGGTTGGAAGTTGTTCTTGCCATCACCCTCATGTTGATCAAATAAATAGATTACTTTAAACCTAAATCTGCCCGTTGTATGAAGAGTTTTAGTCTTAAATGTATTTATTCAGTTGCCTTTCATCTGATATCCCTGCAAAAAGCTAACAATTGCCTAATTAGTAAAACAGGACCATCTGTTAGTAGTTTAATCTCAGTATGAATCCATCTGTTCTGCAAATCCATCAAAGGTTTGTCAGAGAACATTAGAGAACAAATGAAGACCAAGAACCACAGCAGACACTTCTCAGTATGCATTTGAAAGTGAAAAGAGAATGAAGCGACTCTAAGCCTCCCGACACATGACCACTGGTTATCCGCCTAGACTAACTAGCCAGGCTACCATAGTATTAATTAGAGAAGCAGCCAAGAGACCCATGGTAACTCTGGACGAGCTACAGAGATCCACAGCTCAGATGGGAAAATCTAACTTTTTCATGCACTACCACCAACCAGACCTTTATAGAAGAGTGGCAAGTAGGAGTTGATTGTTAAAGGAAGGTTGTAAGTCCCATTTGCAGTTGGCAACAAGCCAGTAGAGAACACACCAATCACAAGGAGGATGGTATTCTGCTCAGATGACACCAAAACGTAACTCTTTGGCCTGCATGTGTGGAAGAAAATCACTACTGCACATCACCCTGAAAACACAATTCACTCTGTAAAATACAGTGGCCGCAAAATTATACTGTGGGGACATTGAGGTCCAGAAGGTGCAATAAAGATGATCGGAGTTTCTGGGAAGACAGATGAAGTAAACCACACATCATCAAACCTGTCCCAGGCTGTAAAAGACTTGATACTGAGAAAGAGATTCATCTTTAAATAGGACAGCAGAACTAAACAAACATCCAGAGCTACAAAACAATGGTATGGATCCCACCATACTGATGCGTTACAAGTGAAATTAGGTTAAAACAATGTTGGGATGCATATTCCTCCCTCCAGATGAGCACAAATGAAACGCAAAAGACAAAGAGTAGCAGTCCAATGTAAGTTGCTACAATCAGATTTTTGATTGCGATGTGATAAAATATGAAAGCTTTTAAGGGATATGGATACTTTTAGTAAGGATTCTGTTTGTTGGTGTGCATTTCACTGGACAACCATCACCCTCCCTTTACACTTAGCACAAGACCTAAAATAGAAGTAGCAGCGCTTTATTTGTACACTAAAACACAGTCAGTGTTAACCCGATTTCCCCCCACCCCCATGTTCTTTATCAGGCTCCTCTTGCTGCAAGCGCTTATGTGGCTGAGATAACACTTCTCCGCACACCACCACGTCTCCCTGCCAAATCTGCTGCCTACAATTGTCAAGAGACGCACACACATTAGAACGCAAATCAGGAGGATTGTTAGGAGGAAAAAATATGCAGCAATATCGCTCCGCAAGGAACGCATATGTATTCTTCGCAGGTTTCAGGCAAGTAATCAATATGTTTTGGAACTTATGAGGGCTCTTTCAATATGTAATTAAAGCAGCTGATCTGGGAGCATTGACAAATTGTTCTCCCAGCGACATGGCTGAGGAAATCTATCCGAAATAACAAGAGGGAGGAAAAACAAGCCGTTTCAGCTTTTGAATGCAAAAACCAAGCCAAAACATCTGGATTTTGATGACTAACCCTCCCTCCCACACACACACACACATAAAGGTTGCATTTGACATAGAAACTGTGCTAAAGTTCAAAACTTCCTCCAAGATGATGGAACCTTGCTTGAAGCAATAGCGAATGTTAGGTGATGTATATGGACATAAATAGAGAAAACACCTGCAGAAAGTCCATGTTTTTGTCACATAAGTTTAAAAAAGTAATTATACGATGTTTTAGCAGTTCAGTCAAATATGGAGTATAGTAATGTGCGTTTTAAATAAGTGCAGAAAATGACTGAGAGGCTTCAAAATGCACGTCTCTGCTCTGTTACGGCTCACGATGGGATTCCAAGAACTGAAGGATGGAAGTTCAATAACATAATATCAATGAAGAGAATCCAGACTCCTGCATTCTGAGATGACACGCTAATTGTTTCATTGATAACTCTCAATGACGGTCCACTGCCGACTCCCATGATCATCACAAATTCTGACGTTGTCGATGCAGAGGGAGGTTCTCCTCGGCGGCTCGTCTCGGCATGCCCAGAGCTGAGGCCAAGAGACGAAAAGAGCTCAAACGGGGACAGAGAAGGTCATCTCAGGGTTCGCAGTCTCTGCGAGGGCTCTCTCTTAAGAACGGGATGATCGTTCATTTCTCGTCGTCAGAGATGGCAGACAGTTAGGAAGATTCAAACATTACGAGGAAAATGTGTTGGCATCTGTCACTCAGATGATTGACTGCCTGGAGGTAGTTCTCCAGTTCACTAGGTTCTGGTTGCTGTTGCACACGAAGCAATGCGCGGGCGGGCGGGAGGACGCGAGAGCGTCTATAAATAGCCGAGCCGGCGATGTGGCGAGAGAGGCAGGTATATGTGGCTGCCAGATGGTGCCTTGTGGGGAATGTCTCCCGGTGATTTTGTTTGCAAATAGGTCTCTGTAAAGTCACCGGCTCCTCTCCTTAGACTCGCCCGCTGTTATAGGCAGAGCTTTAGGAACTGCCATA